TTTTTTTTTCATCTTTATATTTATCGTTTATAGCACGATAAAACCATTAATTGGAAATGGAAGAACAAATGCAGCAACTATCCCTGAGCGACACTTCTCGTGACAAAAGTGCCAAAAAGCAGGGCGACATTTCTTGTGACAAAGATAACAAAAATCAAGATGTCACTTCTTATAACAAATGCAAGAAAAATCAGAAGCCGTCCACCCGGAAACCAAATCAGCTGTTTCAGACAACCAGACAGATACTCGATAAAAGGATAAATGAGCTGGAGACATATTATGTAGGTTCTCTTATTGAAGCATTTTCATGGCTAAATTGATGCTCTAAAACAATGGAGGTAAAAAAATAAGTTCAGCAGATCTTATTATCATGAAAAATATTGTTTCTCTTAAGTAAGTAAATAAGACTCGGAATAAACAAACGAATTACATAAATTACTGGGCCTTAACATTCATGTGGCACTTTCAACAACGATAATAATACACACCACAGATATTAATTTTTGCCCTTCGTTTTTAGCCAATATTTGTGTCCAATTTCATATATGATAATAATTTATCAACAAATTTCAGTTAACAGTATTTAAAACAACGCACCACATAAAATCCATCCATCTTTCTCATAGACGGATTTATGTCATTCTTTTTTCTGCTCATTAAGGCCCGAAGTCTAAATTTCACATGACAAAATTCCATTTTGAAGTAGTTATTAGACGAAAAAAGTTCACTTCTAAATTGACTGTCACTTCAAAACATGACACAGTGAAGGATAATTTAAGATTAGATTTGAATTTCAGAAGAGGTTAAGCAAGAAACGAAATAATGTAAATAGTGAAAACAGTCTAGAAGATGAACGTGTAAGTGCTTCTGATGTTATACAACTACGATTACCTTACCTTTACTGAAGAATGTTAATATTATGCAAAGGGTGAAAAATCTATTTTAGATCAAAGTTAATCTCGTAGTGGAGGACATAAAGAATCAGCTCAACGTTATGCGTGAATTACGCAAAGCTTATCTGTCCGATATGAAGAAAATTAAACGAGCAAAGAATAAGCAAAGAAAGGTTTTTTTTTTACTTTTTAAGCTTATAGAATAGTAAAATTTGATATTTACAGGGAAATTCATTACTTACAGAAAAGTAAAAAGAATTTTGTGAAACTAATGGGAGATTTTCAACGTTACAAAGAACTTCTGTCATTGCTTCAGTATGCTGATGTGAGAGAAGCATTTCGTACTGGAACCAATGGAGCTGTAGTGAGTTCAGATGGCTTTTTTTTTCTATTAGTACAAAAATTAGTGACTGATAAAATCAGTAACTTCTCTTATGATATTATTAACACTTGATGAGATAATAGATGTTTTTATCACGTTATGGATAAATATTTCGCTTAATTTTTAATCGTAATTTTAATCTTTCTATTCGTAATCGATAATTTTCATTCACTATAAAATTTTTTACGAGCAGTGAAGTAGTATGAAATTTGCTTTACTGTAATTTTCATCTCTCTTTATCTGGCAAAATCAAATAATCTCTTTGCCCGATAGAATTGAATATCCTTTGCAAGATGACTGTAAACTTTAGAAACATTAGAAATAAAATGAAGTTTAAAAAAAGTAACATAACTGCATTAACCAATCAAATTATTATCAGAAACTGTCGGAAAAGGAATTAGATTATCTGTATTGGCTAAATGCAGAAATTAATCCATCAATAATTTCTTCTGAAAATAAAACAATCTGGAACAAGAAATTAAGAGAAAGTACCTTGAAAGCAATGGAAATCGTATTTGGCTCCAATAAAGAAATCATTAGCTCCTGGACAGGTAAGAAATAAATGAACTAATGAGCTGATTCAATGGACAAAAAATTTTACATTTTTATCAAAGGCTACTTCCGTTATTCAATCATTATCAGAACGCTTTTAACAGATATTATTCACATGCATATTAGTATTTCAGTGATCATGATAAGAAAGGGTCACATTTCAGGTCAAAATACGAAACATTTATTGGAACAAATCAGCAAATGTAGATTTTTCAGTGGACGTACAATGTGGATGAATGTAGAAATTTTTACTCGAATTAACGCGAGCGCATTTTCAAACGCATTTCAAGCATATTCTTACTACTATCGTCACTGCAATAAAGAAGTTGTTTGTTAGCTTTATTATAAAGATCAAAATAGAAAAACTGATGATTGTTTTGATTTTAGATTGCATCTGATGCTGATATGGAATTTGACCCCAACGAGACATTTAATGGCAAAGTGTCGAAGTGCAATCTTCAAAACATGTACAATAATGCTGTCAGTAAGTCTTTTATTTATTCCAAAATGCTAATTCAATTGACGAATAGTCGAATTTAAGCTGAATGATAATGAGAAGAATGAAAATTAATTCACGTCAAAATGTAAGACGACTAGAAACAATAGTTTGCTTCATTGAAGTTCGTTCAAATGTTCAGCAACGCTGTGCAGAAACGGAAAAAAAAGAATCAGCTACGATGACGAATAGCAAAGAGAATTATAAGTTCATAAAAAGAAGCGATATACCTGACGGTTAGTTGCAGTATGATTTTTTTCTTTGAAATTAGGTTGATTAGCCTTCTAATAAACCTGCTTTTTGCCATTTAATAAAAATTAAATGCAACAATTAAAATAAGCGAATTTAAATTATAAATAAAACATTGGTAATAAAAAGTAGATTTCATCTTATCGTATTCTGAAATTGTCTGAAAGAATGTAATAAACGAAATAATCACAGCAGTTGATTGCCTGCAAAATAGAAATGAAAACAAAAAAGATAAAAATACATATTAACTTCTGGAAATGGATTAATGCTTATATTACAATAAGCTATTGATAAGCTAAAGATAAGACTATCATCTAAAACTGTTTGTTCAGTTAACGTGCAAATTTTTGAATCTTTAAAACAAAACGTCAATTTTTGTTTTTAGATTATTATCTTTGCTTTAATTATTATCCTGCTCGTTTCACCGCAGATGTCAAAGTACCGCCATCATTGGCTCGACGACCGCCACCAGGAATATTTCGTTGTGATATCTGATTTAAAAATGGCATAATTCTCTTCAACTGCTTGTCACTTTCTAAAAAACGAATAAATATTTTCGCTTCCTTCAATTATTGTTTTTTTTTCAGTTGGATGATTTGTATTTATACCGCCATTAAAATTTCACTTCTGCATAATTATTTCAATAGTCAATTTATAATTTATTCTTGCTTACGGCTTCGTTATGATTATTGTAAACGAAGTTATCTTTTCGGACAATATTTTGCTATACAATCAACTATTATTATTTATATGTTTAGTTACAAATAAATGTTTAAACCTCATTTTTAAATGATTTCATTACATTAGATAGTGCTTACTATGATATTTTGAAATGCAGAATTAATCATACTGACAGCTGTTTTCATAATTTGCAGAGTTCACAATATTGATTTCTAAATTTGATAGCTAACTGCGCTGATACGAAAATATACAGCATTGGAGCCGCAACAAAGACCTCCGAAAAAAATGTTCAGAAAGATTCAAGCTCTCATTAAGCTGCGAATTGCAGGTCCAAGGATGGAAATGATATCTTGTGGATCGAATTTGCATATCAGTTGTTATGGTGATAATCATGCATGTTTAATTACGAAGTTTCATCCTTTTGTTTAATCTTTAGCTTGATTTTTTTTTTTAACAATAAATTTCAAAATCAGGAAAATCAATAAAAGTGAAAACGAACAAAGATTGCATGGAGGTATTTGATTATTCAGCATCCTCATGATGATAAACACAATCCGGATCATGATCATGATCAACTGGTACTAATCAAAGATCAAACCTGTAAACTAAAATTATTACAAGTTTGATAACCATTTCTGTGTCGGTTCATTTTGCATTATGCCGACAGCTTCTATATTTTATTCATGTTATAACATCATTACTTATAAGTTAATTCTGATTCACTGTATGAACCGATCGCGAGTTTCGAAATGTCATAATGACAGGCAAAGAATTCCTCCTTCAAATTTTCTTCTTAGTTTTAATTAAATTTTCTAAAGCTTCAAAAAGGTTGGGATAATTCAAAAAAATTAAGTTTGGATTTTTAACTCTATGAGCTTTATTATCAGATGATGCGACAAGGTAATCCACATGGGAAGAGCGATATGTTTGGTGATAGCTATCGGATTGCCTTCTCCAAAATAATATGCAATGTTTGATTATTATTAAGTCGTAGCTGTTTCAGATAATTGCACCAGCAAAGGAGAAATAGTAATAAATGGATGAAAAAGGTGAAGAGGACTTTCTTTCAAAATGGAATCCGGAAACTGATATTATCAAAATTTTATTCTCCGATAAGACCAATGATTTAAAAGAACAACTCGTGAGTTTCATCTATATTTTAGCACGAAAGTTGACCTATACATTGTGATATTGTTTATTGTTAGCATGCTTGTGAAATATGGCGTCTTGCAAATTTCATATTTTATAGGATTTAAGCTGAACTATGAAGGATTGAAAAAGTTAATGAGTGATTAAATCAGTGGGGAATAAATATGATGGAAGGATTTTATCCCTCTTCAATGACATTCGTTTTTTCTTCTTTTTTTTTTAGGAAGTATTAGAAATTGGGCAGATAAATTTGAATGTTGAAAGTAATATTATTAATGGGAATGAGAAGGTATGAAATTGTCACAATTTATTTCTTTTTTTGTATTTTTGTTTGAATGATATGATGGAAGGAATGATTAGGCGTTAGCGTTAGCGAAAAGTGAAATTCATTTCCTGAGTGGTATATTGGAGGTGTATGTGAACAGTATGAGGGACAGGAAGAAAGCGTGGATTGATCAAAGAAAGGTTCGTTTTCTTTTTTTTCGAAAAAATTTCTGTCAATAAAAGAAATGCCATTTATTGGAGCAATTAAACTGTGCCATTGTGATTTTAATCAGAAATGATTGCTTGTAAGATATCTTATAATCTTCTATCCACATTAATTTTAACTAAATTTAAAAGTAAAATTTAATCCACATTGCATTAAATTTTACTTTTAAATTTAATTAAAATTAAGTTTCATTGTATGGAAAAGTATAAATAATGGAACAAAATTTGCAGTGAGAAAAAATAATTGAATGAAAATTCTGTCAATGTTTACAGAAAAGACGAATGCATCTTATAGAACAAGTGGCCACTTTCTTCCAATACAAGCAAATAGTCGCTAATATGCAAATTACTGACATTAATTCTTCATTTCGTACTGGAAAATATGGCGCCATTGTGAGTTCAGATCATTCTATTTATTTAAAATTATGAATAGCACGAATGCTTAACAGAAAAGATCCGTACAAGGAAGAGACATCAAATTTTAGTTTAATTTCATCTTTATTTGTCTATTGTTAAAGAAGAACAAATCCTGTCTTTGTCGCAAAAACAAGCGCTGTTGGACAGGTCGGGAATGAGGAGACTAATTTTTTATCAATCATTTTCACATCAATTAAAACATAACATAATTCTTCAAATTTCGATTTGACAATAAATTTCTCAATTTCTAATATGCATTCCACTTTAAAAGTCACTAAAGTTGGCTAATTAACCACTAATTAATTATCATAAGATTTTGCTAACAGAAATTAAACAGACAAGAACTTGCACTTTTGAATTCGCTCAATGAAATAATTAATCCGACGATAAATTTCGAAGAAAGTAAGAGAGTTCGCAATAAGAAACTACAAATCTCCGTGGAACAAGGAATGAAAATTGTGAACAATTTACCTGATCAGGTTACTAACTATTGTAAAGGTGAGAATCAGAGAAGTTAACATTTTGCTTTTATTGTTTGTAAGGAGGCCGTTCCTTTCAGATAAACAGATAAAAATTTTAAGTGCAGAAGATTTTGACCATCGTCCATTTCCACTTTGTTTTTTATGCTTTTTATGATGTTGAACTGAAAAATCTCAAGTCAGTGAGACCATTTTTAGGCAGTGAAATTAAATATTTGCTTGATCGTCTTTCCAACTGTCATTTATTTTGGAAGATTCCGTTTTGGCCGCAGAATACGATTACCGTTCAGCAACTCTCTGCTACTATTTTCACACAGGCAATTCATAAAAATTGAATAAAGTTTAAAATTTTTCAAATTTTGATTCACTGAATTTTTTATATTCATCCTACTTCTGTGCTGAAAATTTTTCAAATCTTGGCTAATAGCTTGCAGAAAATTCTGCTACGTGTTTCATAATTGATAACGAATCAAATTGTAGTTCTGCTATGAGGGTAGAGATAACCAGATTGA